AATGTCATCACCATAACAAAAATGACAACAAAGATCTGGGCACGTCTCCCTGTCTAATGTGAAAATGATTACAGATAAGCATGTGGTTTAATTACAGTGCTCATCTGAGTCTCCTAGAAAGTTGTGTTTTCTACTGTGCCCTCCAAACATTCTGGAATTGATCATAAATTCTGTATGTTCCCAGTATCTGTAGCACTGTCCTCCCGTTGTTCATCAATTTGCTTGAGCGGGCACCAGTAATGTCTCCATTGTGAGACGTGTTGTTACTGCTTTTGGCAGATCAAATACACCACGGGGAGCTTGACAGGCTCTACTGTGAGGGCAGGATACTCTCAGTAGCTTACTGGCCTCTCCAAGAGGGACGGAGGAATCAAACCGGGGTCGGCCACGTGCAAGGCAAATGCCCTTCAGGCTGTGCTATCGCTCCAGCCCAGATCCCGGCGCTCCCAGTTTCTAAGGTGGGGGGAAATGGATATGATTTATCTGGGGATCAGACACACTAGTCTTTATATTTTGTGTTTTGTAGCTTTTGTGTTCCATATTTTCTCCCCAATATTCCCATCCTATTTGAAGCATTCATTCACTCATTCATTCACTCATTGATTGGATTCCACGGGATGTCAAGAGACCGCGTGGCCGCCCACCTACCAGATGGTCAGACTTCTTTGTCAAGATCATGATCGATCGGTTTGAAGCCCTCCATGTTCCCGGAGCAAAGAGATGCCATTGGGCTACACTAGCACGCGACAGGGACAAATGGAGACGTTACTGGCGCCCGCTCGAGCAAATCGACGACTAACGGGAAGTTAAGTGATAAGTGAAGTGATTCACTCATTCATTCAGGGTAGGGCCATAGAGATGGTTCAATAGGATGAACACAGGCCTTGATTGCAGGAGGCCAGGTCCAATACCAGGCCCCAACTGGTCCCCCACGCACCTCTGGAAGAAGCTGTTGAATACAAAGCCATGAGTAGCCCTTGAGCACTGCAAGATGTGGTCCAAAACAAACCAGGAAAAAGGGCAAGGAGGGGGGAATTAAAGGCATGAGAAAAGAAACGATAAATCAAGAAAAGAAATGACAAATCAGATCTCATTTAAGCACAGACATTATTTTAGCCTGAATTTTAAAATGAGAGTTTATGGCATTAGCTAAGCATGGTTGTGGAATCTGAGATCCCAATGAATCTGAGTCCCACTTGTAGGGAATACCTATTTGAGGAGGGGACATGCAGGATCTGAAAAATTCTAGGATGGGTTTGTTGTCCTCCCACTAGATGCTGGAGGGAGAAGCCGGAGACTATGGCATCTGGTACAGACACATTACACTCATACTCACAACTCAATTGATTTCTTTTCTACAAACTGAGATCTCCTGTAGAAGTAGAAATTGCATTTCCCTTCTTTACTTTTTACAACCAGAGGACATAACCCAGGAGCATGAAACGTATCCTATACAATTTCACCAAATGAATAAATGAATACTAGTCTGCCATTCATATTATTACATAATTGAATATTTACATTTAAAAAGAGGAGTGAAATAATTTGGGTACATGACAGCATGCACTAATTTAGGTATCTGTCCATATTTAAATAAAAATTAAGAATTATATGGGGCCAGAGCAATAGTACAGTAGTACAGTAGGTTGGGCGTTTGCCTTGCACGTGGCTGACCTGGGTTTGATCCCTGGAATACCATATGGTCCCTTGAGCACCCTCAAGAGTAATTCTTGAGTGCAGAGCCAGGAGTAACCCCAGTGCACCACCAGGTGTGGCCCAAAAACAAGCCAGAAAGAAGAGAAAAAATATATAAAAGTCAAAATCTGCATTAAATCTCAAGATTTGTTTCACAACTCTTACTACGTCTGGCAGAAATTTCATTTCTGCATATATATCCAAATTGATACTCAGAAGATAACTGTGTTCACAACATTTTGACAACTGCATTATTCACAACAATTATGAGGGAAAGTCAGTCCATAAAGGGTGAAGAAATACACAATCAATATAGAATACTTACAAAGAATATCATTCGACATTCTTAGAAGGATGGAAATTCTGACACATCTCCAACATGGAGGTGGTTAAATTAAAGCAGATAGTCATAAATAATAAAATCTAATTCCACTTGTATTAGTTTCCTTAAAGTGATCATGTTTTAAACAAAGAATGTAGACTGGCTGGTCACCAAAGGCTGCAGGAGAAGAACTGGGCATTTCAAGAGTAAGAATTTCAGCTGCAAGATGGAAAAATCTCTGGAAAGAGTGTAACAGGTGTGAACTTATGATACACCAGGCAATGGGATGAGTGAGGAAAAGGACAGACTTGCCTCTCTCAGGGCTAGTAAAGGGCATAAATTGCTTGTTTGATAAACTAGATTTTGGTCAAAGTTATGAACGAGAAACCAGATTCCAATTAAGATCAACTTGGTTTTGTCATAGGATTTTGTCTGTGAGCTTTAGATTTCAGAGTCTTGGCTCAATTTCCACCTCTACTATAAACTAGTTGTGTGAATTTGGGAAAACAATTTAACTTCCATGAGTCCATGTCATCATTTGTAAAGTGGAATGGTAGTAACAACCTTCTATCTGTGTTATAAGAAGTAAAGTCAGATTTTTTTAAGATATCACCAGTAGACTCTCTCTCAATATGAATTATAATTTCCCCTTTATTGGGCTAGTCAGGATGAATCCTGAGAAACTGGTGTTATTTATATTCTATATAGAACAGGCTATTACAAAAAGGTTTCTATTATTGTTCTAAAACAAGAAATATTAGGGATTTTGTCTGTATTCTTGTAATTGCTAACAATTATAACAAAACTTCTACCAAACAAAAGGCCAAAATAAGCATTTAACTTGTTTCAAAACTTGGAACAAAACAAGAGAAAAAGAACAAGAAACTACATTTTGTCTATTAAAGAAATAATAAAAATCATAAGCAGTATCAGAGAACTTGGAAGCGTGATCTCACTTAAACTTCACAATCACCCTGTGAAATATGAATGAAACATAATTTGACAAAATATCATATTAAAGTTCAGAGAGGACCAGGGTACCACATAAAGACATTCTGGCTAAGTAGAAAAAAGTGCTTTTCATGTCTACATCCTTGTGGTTCCAAGATGGGAAATTTGCCTGTTATATTACAGTTTCTTCCACACCATAAGAACCATAAGAGGAAGAGCTAGACACTGGGGGGAAATGACAAAATAAACTCCTCATATGCCTCAGATCCATGAAGGACAAAAGAGATCTGTGAGGTGTCTACTCCCAACAGAAAAGCAGGGTGGCAGTGGGAATCTAGAGTTATATCTAACTCTTTTAATTCCCAATTCCTTTGAATATTCTCTTGGTATCTTACTTCCCGACTCCTAAACCCTCAAGATGTAGTCTTTAATTGCTCCCTGTTCTCGGGGGCCTCCTGCTCCTTTTCTTCTGGGATGTACCATGGAGAGGGCTCCCAGGGACAGTGAGATCATTCAAAACGAGTGAAGGCAGGAGATGCTTTAAGTGTGCTAAATACGAGGACAGGTCCTCTATGCTGGTGGGCAGCTGGTGCACCACAGTGTCCCCTCTTTGTCCTGACTCTGACTGAGAAAGACCCAAATGAAGATATTCAGGGTCCTCAGATTGAGAACCCAGGTCTGATTATGGCACCTAGAGATGAGAGAGTTTGGGAATGGAGAATCCCCAAGCTTGGTAGAAGATAAAGAAGATCAGAGAAGGGAGAAACATCTGTTTGTCTTCTTTGAATCAGTTGCAATCCTTTGATCATGTAAGTGCTCAGAGTATCAGCCCATCTTTCTGATGTCTTACTTTTTCACCCTCATTGTATAGTCTTGGAGCCCAAGACTGTTGAAAAAATCTCAGTGATGAACATCATTTCGTCTGACGCAAAGACTAATAGTTCTTCCCCCCTTCACAGCAAAGCAACAAGAGCAAGGAATGCACTCATCAGTCTGTGATCAAATTCAGCAATGATCATGCTATAAGTCTCATGCAGTTATATACAGTTATAAACTTAGATCGATGTTTTATTTTCTGACCTGAAAAATCACATTTCTGTAGCATGCAGTATATAAACTTTATGATAAAAAGATATGTAAAGCCATTCTTCTGGTTTCTTCCAAATTCTCAGAAGAATACACTTAGTTCTTCCTTAATGATCCATTTTCCTGCTTCCCTGTGGAGTGTTTCTCCAAGTTTGAGCTATAGTCCCATTCAGTCCTGTCTCTATTCTGTCTCCTCCGGGACCTCCATGAAGCTGAAGTCAATGACAATCTTTTCCATACAGGTAATTACTTCACAGATTCTTTAACATAAGACTCATTTTTTCCAAGTGTCTAGCTATTCTCTAGACCAAAAGAATACCAAATACATTATAGAGAATGCTACTATGTAGCAACATCTTTCAGTACAGCAGCATGTTCTCTTGATAGTAATTCTCATACATATCATCTCAGTTAAACAAAAATGAACAGTTTGTGTGTATAGATGATGTTCCTAGCACAATGAGAGAAAAATTCACAATGAGAAAAGCACTAAGAGAACATCTCAAATAAATCCTAATTTCACTGCAATGAGTCTTAATCTAGAGTTCTCTTCAGAGGTGTGGGTGCCCCACCTGACCTCTGGTCATTAGGGACTATAAATGTGCTCTGAAAGGAACTGAGGAGGGGTCGATTTCAGGTAATTGTTGTCTAACAGGCTGTGGACATTAAATGACACTCATCTGTGAGGCACTGATATCCATGTGGATAACACTTGTATCTCAATTAGTGAAAGAAAAGGGAATATTGAGATACAAAGTATAAGTTACTGGTCCCTGAATGACTTTGAACAACTCCTATTCATCATTATGACATAATTATGTTTAAACAAAGATAAGTGATAGGAATATATGGATGGATAATGTGTCATATTGTGTCTGTCTTAAGCCAGCTGCCACATTCAGGCTTTCATGAGTTTTGTCTCTCCCCAGACCAGCCCTGCAGGAACATGAAGAACCACACGGAGCTGAGTGAGTTCATCCTGCTGGGAATCCCTCAGACTCAGGGAGTGGAAACTGTGCTCTTTGTCATCTTCCTGTTTATTTACATCTTCACCCTAGTCGGCAATTTACTCATCCTCATAGCAATCCTTTCCTCCTCTGCCCTTCACACCCCCATGTACTTCTTCTTGGGAATCTTATCTATTTTTGATATTTTGTTTCCGTCAGTGACCTGTCCCAAGATGCTGCTCTATCTCTCTGGCCAGAGCCGGGCCATTTCTTACAAAGGCTGTACCACACAGCTCTTCTTCTACCATTTCCTTGGAGCCACTGAAGGCTGCCTCTACTCAGTGATGTCCTATGACCGCTTTGTGGCCATCTGCCACCCCCTGAGGTATACACTCATCATGAGACCTGGAGTCTGTGTGGGTTTGGCCATGGCAGCCTGGTCAGTGGGCTGTCTTCAAGCTACTCTCCTGACCTCTTTCACTTTTAAGTTGACTTACTGTGGCCCAAATCGTGTGGACTACTACTTCTGTGACATCCCTGCTATGTTACCTCTGGCTTGTGATGACGCTTCACAGGCCCAGACCGTGGGTTCCACCGCTGTTGGCTTTCTGGCTTTAATGCTTTGGTTCACTGTCTGTGTATCCTACACACGCATTGGGATTGCTATTTTGAGGATCCGATCAGCAGAGGGCAGGAAGAAAGCCTTCTCCACCTGCAGTGCCCACCTTACTGCCATCCTCTGTGCCTTTGGACCAATAATTATCATCTATCTGCAGTCCACGCCCAACCCCTTGCTTGGTGCCATAGTGCAGATCTTAAATAATATTGTCTCTCCCATGCTCAACTCATTAATCTATTCCTTAAGGAACAAAGAAGTGAAAAGATCCTTAAAGAAAGTGTTCCACAATGCTGTGTTTACTGTTCTGGAATAATTTCTATCTTTTAAATTTATTTTGAACTTTATTGCCTCAATATTATCTATTTGAGGGGGAGGGGTCACACCTGGCTGTGATCACTGCTTAATCTGGCTCTGTGTATAGGAGTCGCTCCTGGCTGTTCTTGGGGGACCATATATGGTGACAGGGATTGAACTGGGGTTTGGAGTTCACTACATTCAATACGTGTACCTTACCTGTACTTTCTGGTCCAACGTCATCCTCTTAATTTCTTTTCTTAAACAAGACTATTTTTAAAATGCGTTTCCCTCAAGCACTGTATTCTGTCTGCCTAGTAATATTTTCTATGGCAGTTTCTCTACAATTTCTGAGCTCCATGAATTACAGATTCTGAATAACCCTTCAGTGCCTTAACTCTGGAGAAGGAATCTGGGGGCCTAGCAGCAGCTAAGGAGGCTCACAGCCCCATAGCACGCAGCCATATTCCTGGACTCTCACTGTGAGGTTCTGTGCCAACCTAAGGGAAAGCCCCGATAACCCATCCCAGGCCAAAGACCCTTACTTCACTTCACCTTTCTTGCCCCACTTACAATGCAACAGCTTCCCTCCCCCCACCCCCCACAAGCATTTCAGTTCTTCCAGGTTGCTAAGAGTGTTAACTGGCAATGATAGAAGATTATCTGATTTGGCAAGTACTATGATAAAGAGTTATCATCACTGTCACTGTCACTGTCACTGTCATCCCGTTGTTCATAGATTTACTCGAGCAGGCATCAGTAACATCTCCATTCGTCCCAGCCTGCTAGGAGATTTTAGCAGGCTCTCCTTAGTCGTCTTTCCCAATGTATTGGAGGCTCTTTCAGGATCAGGGGAATGAGACCCATTATTGTACGTTTTTAGCATTCGAATACACCATGGCTAGCTTGCCAGGCTCTGCCATGCAAGAGATATATTAAAGCTATTATCTCCTTTACGGAGCTGGAGCGATAGCACAGTGGACAGGGCATTTTCCTTGCATGCTGCCCATGCGGCCAACCCGAGTTCGATTCCTCCGCCCCTCTCAGAGAGCCTGGCAAGATACTGAGAGTATCTCACCTGCATGTCAAAGCCTGGCAAGCTACACGTGATGTATTCGATATGCCAAACATTCGATATAACAACAAGTCTCACAATGGAGACGTTACTGGGCCCACTCAAGCAAATCAATGAACAGCGGGAGGACAGTACTACAGACAGTGCTAAATCTCCTTTAATATTCATATCATCCCCATAACAAAGACTCCCCATGAAATGCACAATGAGGTTAAGAGACTTTGAATTATGAGCCCACTGATGCCTAACAGTTGGCAAAAGAGAGTCTCCAAAGACCTACCTCCACAGCTCCTTTCTTCATCCCTCTTGTACAGGATTACCCTCCTATGCCCTAAAAGTGCCCCTTTAGCCCTTCCAGGAGTGAACCCTAAGCACAGAGTCGTGAGTAAGCCTTAAATATGGTCACATGTGACTCCTCCACCCCTCAAATAAAAGGATGAATAAATTTTCTTTCACAGTTTCAATTTGAAGGTTAAGATGGATGACGGGCACTGGAGGAGGGATGGGCACTTGATCATTGTATAACTGAAACCCAAGCACAAAATTTGTAAGCCTATAACTGTACCTCATGGTTTTTCACTAATAAAAAAAGGGGAAAAAAAGAATGAATGTTTCAAAGTCCGCATTAGTGGAGATTGAGTAAAGAAGGAACATGCTTTTTAAATTGGTGGCATTGTTGTCTGGCTCAGCCTTTAGGCAAACAGTCTGGAGACTTCTCAGAAAAATGAGAACAGAGCTTCCATACAACTCAACAATCCCACTGCTTGGAATCTACCCCAAGAACACAAAATTCTTGGGATGGAATTGTGTTAATTCAGCAAGGCATATGCACACCTATGTTCACTGCAGCAGTGAGGATAACTAAAATATGGAAATAACACAAATGTCCGATGACAAATGGTTAAAGAAGCCATGATTCAGAGACACAATGAAGGAGGATGATGCAGGTACAAGATGAAACCTTGCAGTTTGCTGCAAGTTGGAAGGCACTGGACATTACGTTGAGTGAGCAAAGTCAGAGGGAGAAGGACAAATTCCTGATGATATAACTCCTCTGTGCTTTCAAGAGACAAAAGAAGGGAATAGTGTTTACTTAAACTCCTGGCTTTTCATCATAAAAATGAGATCACCAGATCCTACATGGAGAGGATGGGCGGGGGGAGAAGGGATGAGAAGGGACACAAGGAGGGTCTACTTTGGTGGGAAATGGCAGAAAGTTTTTGCATCAAAACAATAAAAGACCAGTAAGACAATGATAGTTGGAAATGATAATTTTGGACAAAAACTGAGTGCTGAAACGTTTCAGTACCTATATTGCCCAAAAGAGGGAGAGAGAGAGAGAGAGAGAGAGAGAGAGAGAGAGAGAGAGAGAGAGAGAGAGAAAGTGCCTGCCATAGAGGCAGGCTGGGGTGGCAGCAGGGTGGGAGGCAGCTGGGAGGGTGGCAGGAGGGAAACTGGGGACATTAGTGGTGTGAAATGTGTACTAGTGAAGGGATGGGTGTTGGAACATTATATGACTGAGCCCCAATCATGAACAACAATCTATTTGTAACTGTGTATCTCATGGTGATTCAATTAAAACAACAAAACCATGGAAGTTAACGGAAATGTAATTATGCTACATAACTATCATAAATACTTTTTAAATAATTAACATTTGTTAATATGTAGATAAAATAACATAAAATTATATTTTTGTAGCTTATGATAATCTTGGGATATCTTTATACCTTCTGGGGTTCTATAAAATATAATAAGAAAACTTATTTTATACAGTCTATTTTATTGTGAATAGATCACTATTCATCCTATAATATATATCACTGCTCAAAACCATGATTGGGCCTTTGGAGAACATAGAATATCCCAGGATATTTGTTAGACACATGCCATATCGATTTTAAATCATTCCTGTTGGACATACAGTATATGATACATACTTTTCCTAAATATATTTTTACGAGACCAATCTAAATTTAATGTTATTTTCATCCTAGTTTATAATTCCTTTTTGTTTGTTTGTTTTGGGGCACCATGTGGCAATGTTCAGGGCTTACTTCTGGATCTAGACTCAGGAATCACTAGAAGAGGTACTTGAGGGACCATTTGAAATGCTGGAGATCAAATCCAGGTTGGCCATGTGCAAGGCAAGCAATCTACCTGCTGTACTATCTCTTTGGCACCATATTCTTTTTTGCTTCTACAGAATCTTTTTTTTTCAAGCTGGCCATGCCTCAAAACATCAAAAATAATCAAGGATAAACCTATTATCAGAAAAATTTGAATCAAAATGACAAGGAGATATCACCTCACACCTATGAAAATGGTCTACCTCCCAAAGGCTAAAACAACTATTGACAGGGTATAGAGAAGCAAGAAACCTCATTTGCTGTTGATGTGAATGTACATTGGCCCACCATCAATGAAAACCAGTATGGAGAACTCTCTAAACAAGAAAGATGACTGGGGGGCAGGGAGATAGTACAGTGCTGCCTTGCATGAAGTCACTGAGGCTTGATCTTCTGCATGCTTTATTGTTCCCAAGTACCCCAGGAGTGATCCCTGAATGCCAGGAGGACTTGGCTGAGGACTTCCAGGTATACGACTCAGAAGTGTTTTTCAACATGATAGCTTACAATTCTTTGGGGCCTATTCATAGGCCCATTCCCACTCTCTCTGGGCATGTGACCCAGTCACGGAAATCAGATTTGAATCTGGAACTGAGACACACAGAAGCACAAAGAGCAGCTGAGGTGGAACCAGTCGATGGCCGAGGCTGACTCAGCCAATCCTGAGCTGCCTCATTCTCACTCTTTATGTCCATTTTTTTTCAATTCTCTTAACTATTCCAGTAATTTACTGCTGTTTACAATTAGTCAACCCTGTAAATCCAGAAGAATTTATTTGTAAACACACATATAAAAAATAGCAAACATCAAAACATATAAACACACAGTGGTCTATGGGCCAATAGCTGAAAACCATTCCACTGGGGTATATTTTACAAAGGAAATTATGAGCTCATCTTCAATCAGGTTCCTCTTCTTCTCTCCCTTTCTTCCTCTCCCTCTCCCCTCTTGTTCCCTCCTTGCTCCTTTGGAAGTTCCAATTATTCCAGTTGTTAATTGATCCCTTGCTTGTTCTTAACCTGGGGAAAGAATACCCAGAGGAAGTTTATTTCAAATCTCATGTGTTTGGAAACTGCAGCTCCTGGAGGTGGAGCAGAGATCGCCTTAAGGGAGTCGAAGTATACTTTTATTTGAAAGCAGCTGAGAAAGAGAATTTAGGGTCTCATCTGCAGGCTTTCAGGCAGATGGGGACGTAGGCAGAGTGCAGCAGGGTGCCCCTTCCCTGCATGGGAGAAGGAGCCCTCATTAGCATCAGTGACGTCCCCTACCCAACTCATCTTTGGGACATGTGAGTGCCCAAGGTTCACCCCTCTTAACTTGTCTCTACACATACACACACACACACACACACACACACACACACACACGGGTTAAGAGACAAGACCCTGGGCAACAGAATTCACGGTTTAATCTGTAACTTAAGGATCTCACTGTTGGGAAAGTTAAAACAGGTCAGAAAAAAAATGTCAGGGTTTGGAAATTAGGAAGGAGTTTCTATCGATGTCTCCCGCTGTCGTCAAACCAGGTTTCTGCTTAACCCGGATCTGTTAGTCACACGGAGACTTTGCAGACTGAAAGGTAAACCTCCCATCACAGTTCCAAATCTGCAGCCCGCAGGCTTACTGGTGCCTCTTTTGTGCAGGAAGAGCTACCTCTGGCTCTTCTTTCAGCCTCATGGCTGCCCTGGGGAGGCAATGGGGAATGATGCTGTATCGCTGGTTTGCAAGCCTTCTGGGATCACAAATAGTTTGGGGGGAGTTGATGCAGCCTGTCTTAGATAAGTAGGAGACTTAGAATGTGTCTGTCATAAAGGCC